CTAAGATTTCGTCGGTGTGGTAATCAGCCGTTTAGCTTAGTGGCTAGAGCGTCAGGCCGCGAATGCCGAAGACGTGGGTTCGATTTCCACAAAGCGACAATCTTTTCGTACTTTTTCTACAACTTTTAATAAAAAAAAACTATTCCGAAGATATGTGAAGTCCGCCAATCCGCAGTGGAGCCGCGTGGTGGACTATGCCTTGATACCCTCTGTATAGAGGAGGCCTTTTGCCCAGCAGTGCCACATTTATAGGGTGATACTTTTTTTTTACTTTTACTTTACTTTTTTTTTAAACAACTATTATATTGTAGCAATAAGGTGTTTTGTACATTTACTTTTTATCTATAAGCAAAATCATCTTAGATACAAAAAAGCGACATTGGTGACGCTGTACTACATTGCTTTATTAATCTAAGCTATATTATCAAAAAAAACACTTCAAACAACGACACAGATAAGTGCAGGAGAAAATATACTTAAAATAACTGCAGCGAATAATGCTTAGCGCTTGTACATGTTTGATGTGTCAATAGACTCGACGTATTTATGGTTAACTACTAGAGATGTAATGTGTCGAACTATAATTGTCACTGAATATATCGATATATCGATAAAAGTAAAGTAAAGTAACAGCCTATACATGTCCCACTGCTGCGCAAAGGCCTCCTCTATAGAGAGGATATCAGGGCATAGTCCACCACGCGGCCCCACTGCGGATTGGCGGACTTCACATATCTTCGAAATACATTTTTTTTATTATTATTTCGAAAATATGCAGATTTCCTCACGATGTTTTCCTTCACCGCGGAGCACGTGATAAGTCAACACTTAAAGTTAAAAAATTCATTGGTGCCGGCACCGGGGATAGAACTCAGGTTGCTCGAGTATATTGAATTAAAGGCGAGCGCCCGGACACTGAGCTATCACGGCTCTCCATATATATCGATAATGCCACCTTTATAACGTGGAATCGCTATGTTAATGCAGGACATGGCAGCCTGTTATACTAACTTTCATGGGTCTACGGTTAAATACACACAGTACATTCAATGTTTGGCACCAGCACTGATAAAGTGGCAGTAACAAGATGTCAAAGATGTCCGACCATAAAGATAAATAAAAAACAGCGTAAAACAAGATATGAGACAATTTTTTAATGTAATGGCACAACAGTGACTGGAGGAAACATCCGGCCATGATGCACGAATTGGGTGGGGAGGCTCGTCCAGGAAAATATTACAACCACGAAGTGAAGCAAAAATACCATAAGTTTTGTTCGGTGAGTGAGGTAATCACTGGGTTAATGGTCGGCGACGCGTCTGCAGCTCCATAGCTGTCTATGGACGACATTTCAACACTCGATATCAGATTCATATTTATCGATATGTGAGTTAGGTTATGTCACAACAAAGTTCAGAAACATGATATCCTCCATCTGCAGTCAATCTGCAATCAATGCGTCGAGACATACCAGCTATGCTCCGAGCGTGCCGGGATTCCATGGAGTCTACGTCGTGCTACCATACGTCTGCTATTTGAAGGATTTGTATTGTATTGTATTACTAGCTGCTGCCCGGCGACCACGTCTGCGTAGAATAGGCTGAAGGCGTAACATTCAGATGGAAAGACAGAAATATGTATATAAATTATAGCCTATGTCTTATTCTGATGTATAAGCTTTACTATTGTAAAGTTTTATTAAAATCCATTCAGTAGTATTTGCGTGAAAGAGTAACAAAAATCCATCCATACATACAAACTTTCGCATTTATAATATTAGTAAGGATGTGGACGGTGTTGGGTAGTAAGTCCCAATGACCGCTGCGATCAAGATGTGTGTCTTCTATCCGTTTTAGTGTTTACCTTCGAAAAAATGGCCCCCTTACTGTAGGATAAAATTATCCTGTGTTATAAGGAAATTTTACATACACAAATTTCAAACGGACAAACATCCAGATCCTAAAAATACATACATATTGACACGTCCTTAAGATTTTAATGCGAAGAAATTTAACAATGATTGAAAATCAACAATCAAAAGGGCCGCTAACTAGAATCCGTTGAAACCAAAAAAACAAACAAAAATAAATTTTCACAGAGTATACATTAAAAAAAGAAAACGCAAATAAACATATACATACAAAAATCCTCTCTTCCTCAACATTATTAGGTTTTTTGACGCTCCTTCGCATGATAAACACACAGCATAAATTCGTTGTTGGCTTTCAGTCCTCCATTACAAAGTTCGTGACATATCCATTGTTTGTTCCAACACAATGAACCCCCTACAGATGCATTATGAATGCAAAACCACAATCGGTACTCATTACACGACCTGAGAACGAACGGTCTAATTAATATTATGAAGGCGGCTTCTGATGTCAGCCATTTAATGCGATGTTTACACATTAATACATATTTAAACTAATTAGGCTTTTCACAAATCAATATAAATAATAGGTTTTATGTAAACTTTCAAAAATACACAAGAACCATCAAAGAGAAGGATAGGCAGAGAATAAAGCCAGGCTTTAGATCCTGACCTCAATGTAGTCGATAAAAGTTCTCCTAACACATATTTTATCGATTTTCTGATCTTCACTGTTTTTCATCTTTGCTAACTTCATTTATAACAAATTTTATGTTCCTTAACGCGTTCTCGTCGGTCAATTACAATATTTGGTAAGTAGAGGTTTTTAAGAGCACTTTTTATGCATTGTTAGGAAGATCGTTACTAAAACGAACATTCACCTAGTGTGTGTGCTTATATTTAAACCTTGTCCCTGCTAATATAGCGTATACGGTATAGTCTTACCAGCCATGACCTTAACAAATTCCCAATTATAAAATTCGCAGAGAGTAACGTTTCATTGACATAGATTACTATTGATCACCTTTCAGTTTCACTGTTGCTTTAAACAAACAGCTTTTATTAACAGTTTTTACCTAAATTGTATTTATTAATTTATATATAATTATATTAAAAATACTAATTTTGTGTCTAATAATATATAATTTTGTGATACTTTGCGGCTTCCATGGGCACGGGAAATCCTTAAGTTTTTAAAAGTTCTAAATCACAGTTAAAAAGTTAATATGAAATAGGGTCCAATCATGTTACTTTTCATGTGATGGTAAGTTTGCCACCGCTCATGGACATCAGCATCACCAAAGGCGTTTGAGAAAGTCTCCCGTCACCTCATTCACCGCTACTATGGTAAAAGAAAAAATCCTTCCATTTCGACACTGACCATGAATATACAAGCCAAATTACTATAACAGAACCTTTAACAAACACCGCTTATCAGTTTATTAATTCATTCTCTAATATAAACGCAATTGTTTGTTTCCATTGTTTGCGAAGGAATCGCCTTCGTGCACATTATCGCACGAGTTTGGGTTATCAATCGGTATCGGCTTTGCCGCTATCCGATTGCTTTGTGTCTTCGCTGCGGCCTTATCGGTGTACCGACTGGAGTAATTATAGCCTTGCCAGAGCGTTGCCCGTAATCGCGGATTACGAAGGAACATTCTAGACCCGATTGGGGCCGGACTTTGCGATTTTCGAGAGCGTCCTGTTGTTTATCTTTCGAAAGGTTAATCGCCAATTTCGTCGATTATGTGTTAATGATTCCATTAATAATTACCACGTTTCATAGTACACCGGCGTAATATAGAAGTTTGCCCGTATATAGATGTTTTCATTTCGCCTTATACGTGAGGTCACTAAAAACGTTTCGTAGCCAAAGGCAAACTGCAACCCACGGGTGCTATTTATGATCTTTTGCGGCGTTAATCTATCGGTGAACATCCTGCTCGTTTGGAAACTCCTTCGTATTATTGGTAAAGAAAGACATTCTATAATTATAACATTAATATGAAACGATGTTTTAGGTTTCTTCAAAAACTATGCGTGCTGAGGCTGTAATATTATATATTATAATACCAATGTTTTACGACATTGAGAATATTTTTCGGGTTTTTCACCACTTGCGTAATTTTAACATAATTGTATGCCTTGGTGATGGGGTGTTGATTGTTTCTATATGACACCGTCGTCGACAGAAACATAAACACGCCACCACAGTCCTACATTAGAGCTCTCGATTGTGAAAAGTGAAATCTTCTATAAATGATACTGTTTATTAAACCTGGCTAAAAAACAAGCAAGTGAAAATCGGCCAACAGCTGACGCAGGTGTTACCTTAGATTGATTCCCAGGTAAACATTACGTATTGTGTTCAATTGCACAAAGAAAAAGTAATTGTTCAGGGTGTAACTCCATGTGTAGCTGGTGTATATACACATATATGTACGTTATCTCGTTTCGTGATAATGATAGTGTCCCAAGATAATGTCCTGCTACATTATAGGCAACGTTTATTAAGATGTATGAATACACATATTTCTGTATGTACATTTGTGTTTGTACATACATTTTGCAAATACATAATGTTGTATTTACTTATTTTATGTCTTATGTATTCGCACCTATATTTACCATCACTTTATTATTTACTAAGCGTTCAAATATATGCCTGAAACTCGCAGACGATCTGAAGCCGTATCGCGATGGAGGCGAATGGTGACGAATTTATCGGACGATCGATACGATAGGAAAGGTCAATGGTAGAGCCAGCATTTCGATAGCATTGCACTAACAATAAAATGTTTGCAGGCTTAAGATTTTCTTAAATTAGTACAAGAGACTTAAAAGACAGTAGAACCATTGCGGTGAATGTTTCGCATCGCAACAGGAGAGAAACATCAACAACACACAAGAAGATGATGACGCTCATATCCCTCAAAAGGCAAAATGCAAAACGGTATTCTATTTTACGGCGGTCGCGCCTACAATAGCAGACGGATGTGGCCCTACCACAGTAAATACACCTTCCGATTTATCCTTTAGTAAGAGTCCTATTGTGATTGTTATTGAAAAAATAATTCTCGCTTTTTTCTTTACACAAATAACAAAAATAATGCCGTTCGCCTGTTTACGTAACATAAATCACGTATGTAGTCGTAACACGCTCAAACGATGTAACCGTTCCGATGACATCTTCGCGCCTCGGACGGAATGAAATAACTGCAGTTTCGACAGCCGGCCCCGTCTGCTCTCGCCCTGGGCCGGTCTGCATCAGCACGCCAGTCACGTCCCCAAGGACACCGCAGGTTGGCAGTTCCAACGTGCAATGCTGACCCGCTATGGCATAATGCCCCATTGTTCGGAATATCAATCGATCTGTCACTTCATAAGGATAATGTAATTAATTGATTCCGTCTAAAAATAGACACATATCCAACGTCTTTGTAAACAAGGCGCCATAGAGTTGTGACCTGATCCCAACTTGGTATTCCCGATGTTATAATCTAATCTAAAGTATAAGTTAAGTCCTCCTTAAATAGCCTTCAAAATAAAATCATTTCCTCAGATTTTAACCGTATTCAAGGGGACATGCCCGCAACCTGTCATGTTTTATAGTGTTACAAAGCTACGTGCCTATGCTATCAACTAGGGCAGAGGACGTTAGTATTCAACTCGTATTTTTTGTAAAAATATTTTGTATGCAATACAGAGGAAAACCAATATCAAATAAATTATATTAATTTTAAAAGAAATAAAATGGAATTATCAGACAGATTAATTTTATAACACAACTCACGGAATTTAGCAGCTATAGTTTTAAAATTCGATAACGCTAGCAAACAAAAATGAAAATATCATTCGTAAATGATAAAGACTTATCTGCCACACAAGTACTGTAAACACATCAATAAAAAATCATTCATTCTTGTTGTGTTAAATTTACATGAACGGAAAAACCACGAGTAGCATTCAACAAATTATGCGTATTATATTAATTCAACACACAAATGTTAAAACATTTGTGTATTGAATTCTGAACATGCAAGAACGTCGAAGTTAGCCTAGATATGAAATGTAAAAATTATTTTATTTGACGTCCCACTATATCCATATCGACTACACGCATAGAGAGTGTAAATAGCAAATAATAAGGGAGGAAATTTTAGATAGATTATATAATTTCTATCACTGAACTAAATGATTACTTAGACATATATAATATGCATTGTTACGTAAACTAATTTGTAGATTTTATCACGATAATATATATTTTTGAAAATTACTTCCACGCTAGACAAAATCCCTGTATCCGTAGGTTTAACAGAAGTGAAATTTCGATCACAGAGTAAACCACTGCAGGGAACAACTATTTGTTAACGAGACCAAATAACGCAACGGTGCGAAATGACAGTCGCAGTGGTGACCGCATAAACCGTTGCCCCCTCCGTGGAATCAAAATATAAGTTTGTATTTTATCATTACAACAAGGTATAGTATTTAAGAAATATTTAGATGCACTCGTGAATATCCAATCGATTGAAACGCATATTAGGCTCTTTAAAATATTTATGAAGTATCGTATTTACCCACGTTTATTCCTGAACAATAACATGCAGTAATGCTTACGCAGAGCTGTTAGTAAAAGAGCAAACACGTTCGGATCAAAATAAATAAATAAATAAATCATTCATGAAATATTTCGTAAATAAATACTCTCCTGGTATACCGAATGCAGCACGAGGGGCGTGGGAAAAGACCTTGTCGCATTTGCTGAGAACTGGCAGACGCTATCAGCTCATCTCCGACACGTAGCTGGTTCATGTTCATGCTGATAACCTTACCGCCCATTTAACTACGACACCTGCGTCGCCAATAAATATGGATTTCACATGTTCATGTTCAGTAAATTATTGACAACGTTAGGGTCATTAGAATGATTCAAATCTGAGAGAGGGCGAAGAATAAGCCTACTTGCTTATGACTACAAACTTTTATATAGCAATTACAACAGGCACATTAAAACCGTCTAATTCGGATTTGCTTTAAAACTTAAAACAACAAAGGTCTTGCAATTATCGTTGTCGAACCATCACTAGATGGCGCTGAACGGACCCGCATGTCTAGTCCGGACAGTTTGTTTGGTTACCCACAACTAGTATCGAGGTATGCCGTTATGTGGACCTCTGAATAACTCCGTATCGGTCGCGACAAGGCTTCGCGCCATTTTTGCGAATGCGTCTCCGCGGCGGGTCGGCTTCACTCTCAACGGAATGCGAGGGCGGGGTCGAGCACCGTTGCTCTTTTGGCGCCAGGCCACATAATATACCCACTTCTAGACGTATACCAGTAACAAAATCACGCCTTGAATAACAGCGGTGAACAGTATCAAGTCGATTGTTTCCGACCGATTGGAATGCGTTAATTTGACCCCTATATTATGTGTTTGAACATTTTACTTATTTACCCGTTCTTGAAAACGACTAATTAAATTTGTATAATTTCCTACACCAAACGGAGAAAAGGCCTACAATCACAAGTAGTTAGCAATACTTTTTGATATAAAATGTAATTCCCTTGTAGATACATTTACCTCTAGAATCTTATAAAGTAAAGTAACGTAAACATATCCATACTAATGATTTCTTGTATTTACGCGATTACACATTATAAATGAAACTAATTTTACGGATTTATCGCGTTTATTTTTAATTATATATCTATACTATATTTATTTATTTTTAAGTATATATCTATACTATCTAAGCCATATTATGGCTCACTTTTTTTTAATGTGAATTTTGCCAAGCGAGCAGACGGTTCACCTGATGTAAAGTGATTACCGCCGCCCATGGACATTTACTACACCCGAGGGTTCCAGATGCGTTGACAACCTTTTGAAAATTGGGCTCCGGCCGCCTCACTCACCAGACGAAACGTGAAAGTATTATACTTCCACTTTACGCAGGTCTTCTGTGAGGTCGTGGTACTTCCCCGGACGAGCCTGCCCATTCAAGCAACAGGAAAGACTGTTTCGTGGCCCTGCCACAGATCACTGCTGGACAAAGGCCTCCTTCGCTTGCATTGGAAATTTATTGGACGACATAAAAATACATAAAGGATAATAATTTCAAAGGTTGCTTACTTTTGACTTGATCACTCTATAAAAGAAATTACAAGACGTCAATCAATCATATGAACGGTTACTAGAACTCCCGCGTCAAAAGTCTAATTGGCTTTGTCGTTAACTTTACATTAAGTTTAATGGACATCTCAAAATTCGTCAATTTTAATTTACCATACAATTAAATATAATGAGCTTGAAAAACTTCCAAACAGTCTTTAATATATCACTAATTACATCGTTTTAATTGCGCTGCTTTTTAAAGGTTGCGTAATTCAATGAACACTACGGGGCCAGTTTCAATATTCTATCAATCTGTAGATTTGGTTACTGGAGATAGAATTATGACGTAAGTATTATGGAGCTAACGTCAAATACTTACCGCCAGTAACCAAATCTACAGATAGAATATTGAAACTAGCCGTAAGTAACGTGATCACCGAGTTTGGTCATTGAATTTGAAAGCCGGCAACTTTAATGAAGTTATTCAAAAATATTGTAGCCTTTGAACAGTGACAACATTTTTAGATAGTAAGCAGTTCATACAAAAAAACGTATGTGTGTACTTATATACGCACGTAAGAAGTTATACTTCTTTAACGTAACACACACACACACGTTGAGGGGTAGAGTTAGAGTAAATGCTACATCTGTACTTTTGATTTGAGTACCGCCAATGTTCAAAGCAGCACATTCGAATATTAGCTCTGGTGGCCATCCACTACTGTTCGACGATCGGCACCTGGGAGGTGGTGACAGCTGCTCGTAGCTCTGGTCATATGTATAAGTGGCTTGCAAAAACACAGTGAAAAGAATTTGAAAATAGAATCTTATAATTATAATTAAAACTATGTTTGTACTTAATATGTACGCACGTAAGTTATACTTATTTAGCGTTACAAAAGAAAAATAACTAAAAAAATTCTCGCGTGTGCCTCCTTTCAATCCTTCCTTTCAAGGAATCCTTCCAAGCTGAATCAAATTCACAGCTTCAATGAAAACCTTGGATTTTGCAAGGCGCTAGACAAACTCAACCTCGTGGTCTCCGAAGTGGAACTTTCTTCCGGAACGCTTATGCCGTCAGTGTCGTTGATTTCCCACCCAGATAACTGGTTTCTTAATCTTAATTTGGAATGAGAAATATTCAAACTCCTTTTGTTGAAAGTCACATCATCTGGGCAGAGTGAACATTTACCATTGCTGTTTTCTCTTATAGGTATACGAGATGAGTCAGATTTTATATGTAGATTGAATATTCTATTTAACACTTCAGACAGTCTTTCGAAGCGTATAGAATTTGTCATTAGTAAAAAGAAGTTAATGCATTGAAATAAACGTTAACAGCAAATTATTATGAATAATTAAAGACTAGTGTCGGCCGACATTCACGTCCGGAGCATGTTACATATATTCGGAGGTTACTCTGGGCCCACAAAAAACAGCTAAATAGCTTCGGAAGTAACTGACGGCGAATCGTTTTCCCCCTCTCGAAGGAAGTTGACGTTGTAAGGAAGTTAGAATGATAATAACGATGGTGGAATTAGATGACGATTTAAAGGGGCCATTTCTATCTTATAAGCCTATGCGTTAATACTAGTATTACTTTTTTGGCAGATAATTTGGTGAATAAATACATCTAAGGATGTTATTCAGTGAAGTCAGAAAATCAGTGTATTAATCAATTCTTTAAATCATCGTATTTAGAAAAGAAACTAACTTATTTTAAGTTATCTTTTATACTAACCCGGACTGAGTTGCCTAAAATAGAGTTTATTTCATTAAAGGGTTCCAGGAATAATATAATAAAATAAACGCATTCATACCAATAAGAAAATAATTTAAAAAAGTAACGATATAGCAAAGTGATCATTTTAGAACTCAATTATTAATTACAAACAGGCAAAAGTAATTCAGTTAAGAGTAAAACTACTACGTTACTGTGTTCGATGGAAGATTGACATAACTCTAATTGTTGAAACTGAAATAATAGAATAAACATACTCGAAAATAATCGTTCATACGGTCATTCCTATGTCCTATCCTTGATTTGAGTAAAGTATTTTATGGTTAATGACACTAAGTGACTAAACAAAAATTTCAAAAGCTTACACAACATACCACCTATTTTTAGGTTTCTACGTATTAAACCCTTTATAATATTTTATTATGAAAACCAAAAACTAAAATGCAAGAGTCATGTTTCATAAAATTTTATAGATTTTAAACGTACTCGC